TGCTTTTGTTTTGTGCATTTGCGTGCATTTGTTGTGCCTTGTTTAAGTGGACAATTGCGGTCTATTTTTTGTTGCATGTTGTTTGCATTTTGTTGCATTCCAACGCTTCCCTTGGTGACTTGTTTTTGCGTTTTCTGTACATGTTTTGCAGCATTGGTTTTGCATTGCTTATGTTTTTTCATGTTTTGCTGTGTCATCAGAACTAGCTTTAATGTACATCATAATCATAACTTACTGTATCATAACTCTATATAATTCAATCGGTGAATGCTCAAACCACCTAGTTGTATGCAGCTACTTCACAGTCGACGATCCAAATGGCGCATGCATCTTTTCGTCCATCCCCTGAAAAGCGACCTGAACTTTTAGGGGCCTCTGCATCACCTCCTGCAATCTCTCAACGGGCTCAGTGACCACAAAGGGAACTTCCTGGCCACCATGGACTGTCCCAGTTTCTCTCATCCTTGCAAACCCCAAACAACATAAATGGCCAAAAAGAAGGGGGTGAAGTGAAACACTGTGATTGGTTGTCATGTTTTAGTGCGATTGATCCAAGCAGGTTCAAGAACGGCTCAGATTGAAATTGCATTTCAATGCGGAAGTAACTGAGGTCGAAGCAAAGCAAAGGAGGAGTTCTGCTGCTTCTGCTCGACTTATTCACCTGAGGCTCACCTGTTCCTTCATTTTCGCCCAGTCCCTCCACCACTGAGCCCCGCCTTGTTGACGTATTCGACGACGGGGCGCACCACCTGCAAGCCACACACACGCATCCGACTCCGAGTTTTGAAGATGTTCTTGAGTGGAGAGCCAGATGCGTACAAAGGTGACGAAAACCAGTGACTTGCAATACATGGTCAGTTCACCAGGTAAAGGCACCATAAAGTAGCAAAAACTTGTTCAGATCGAGTGAAGCACGAAGAAAGCCCAACCAGCCCATGAGCATAGGATACAGGTGGTCAGAGAGAGGAGCAGTCAACTGCCAAAGTGGCACAGCTTCATGCATCTTACCAGATCTTGCTGATCTTGCCATCTTCTAGGAGCAAGGACGCTACTAGTAGCTGCTGGCCTTATCACTATTAGTAGCAAGAAGCTACTAGGAGCAAAGGGCATCGCTACTAGGAGCTATTCAACGAAAACATCTTGCTGGAAAAGTCGCCGCCCTGGAAGACCAGTCCTCAACTTTGCCCCCCTGTACAATGGTGTTTGGCCGAAGTATTCAATACTGTAATGTTCACAGATGCCATGCATTTCTGTGTGCTCTGTACAAATACATTTCGATGCCCTTTGCATCCTTGATCTTTTGGTCGACATGCCGAACAGCCGCCCTTCTATCAAGGATTGTGCAACCACACCCCAGCGCCTGCGTGATGGCGTCAACTACCTGTGGATCTGGCACCTGAGAGACTCTGCGCTGATGATTTTCTACTTAGTGGCTTTGGGTGAGGTCACGAGCACGTCAACCACAGAGGTACTCTCACAACTCAACTGCATTCTATTCTATCTCTTCGCATTCTTTTGAGCAAAACTCCCGACCCAGGCTCACTTTAGCCTCCCTGATCGCTGCTGAACACGGGTTCGAACTGTCTTTCGCAATGTCAATGTCTATTTAGACTTTCAGACGGTCATGGAGTTGTCTACGTCTTTGCTTCATGTGCCGTGTGCTTCATGTAAATCGGATTGGTCCGACTCCCAGTGGCAATGCAAACATTGATAGATTCATAGATGGTAACTATCTGCAGATAGATAGTTTCCCAGCGCCCCGATTCCTCAAGCTTTGGATACTTTGATTGGTGAGCGAACCTTTTCTGCAATGCCAAGCTCCGAAACACACTGAGGATGGATACCTACACTGCATTGAATCAAGCTTGGCTCAGAAGTATTCCTCCACCATCACACCATCAACCTGGAGTTCTCACAAAAACAGGAACGAACGGCCTGATGCCTTCAACTTCCGGTTGGAACTAAATTTGAGACATGCCTAGCGGCTAGCGTAGCTTAGCTAGTCACATCTTGTGAGTCACTATAGGAAGACGCGTTTGAGAAACCTTTGCACAAGGGGACCTTGCTTTAGCCGGGTCCATGCAAGAAAAAGTGTTTTGAGTCCAGTTTGAGGCGTGGAAAGACCAGTCAAACCAAAGAAAGGTGCCAGTTTCAGTTGACTTTTCTTGAGACTTTCATTGTCGCAGGTTGCAGGTGGACAGCGAGGATTGCAAGGTCTGGAGTCTAGATTCTATATATATTATATATAGCTTAAGTTCACCATGCATTGGTCAAGGTCAAGATGTACAAAGAGGTGCGAAAGAGCAAAGGAGGCCTGTGTACATTGATAAGTTCCTTGATGAGTTCTTCAATTTCCCCCTCATGTGGTGACTTCCTCGTGTTGCCACCCCAGGTTTCGTCCACCTCCATTCCGACAACAACAGTAACACCAACGGCAGCCGCCTCTGTCTCTGTCGGCTCAGGGGGCTCCTGCAGATGAAGACTCACGGCTACCATGTTTGTCACTTTAGAAGCTTTACTGATAGCTTCTTGCTCCTAGTAGTAATGGCCTCCAGCCTAATAGCGATGGACTCCCCCTAATAAAATAGTTTCTTGCTCCTAGTAAGCTAGGCAAATCACATAGGCCTGGCAATGAGTGTTTAATGCTCCTGTTGTCACGACAAAGGAAATTATCAGGACCAGAGAGCTGAAACCGTTTGTGCCAGGTATCCGATCCTGCGATCGTTTGAGTGTTCAAAGTCCTTTCGTACTTGTTGGTGAAGCATGCAGAGTGTCCATCAATGTCCACTGTGCCAGGCTCCGTTCTTGCCTTATGCATGTCTTTCATCACTAGGAAACCTATGGACCACTTACTTTGTGTTCAAACATCTTGGAAATTCACCTACTATATTCCACCCTCCGAGGCCGGCCTTGCTGGCCTTCGCCAATGGTTTGGACTCCAAGAACAGTGCGCCTGCAAATTAGGGCAGGACAAATATGCATGGATATGTATATAGACTGATGTGCGATGCCCTTTGCTCCTAGTAGCGTCTTTGATCCTAGTAGCGATGCCCTTTGCTCCTAGTAGCGATGCCCTTTGCTCCTAGTAGCGTCCTTGCTCCTAGT